CTGGCCAAAATCATAAAACAATTGTCAAAGCTTTTGAAATCATAGCTGGGGGAGAGGGTTATGTAATATTTATAGTAATACCCTTCCACTTATCCTAGCTATACTTCAAGTTTTATTTTTAGTTTGTTTTTGTTAAATTAAAGTTTTAAGGCCCTGAGTGATTCAGATTAACCGTAAATGGAAGACAGCAATTACCAAGGACCCATAAGGATTTACAAAGGATGTCAGCAGAATTTACTTACATTGTGTGTATCTGCAACAGGGATGAGTAACAATAAAATTTTCACATAGAAATTTACACCACCTGCGTTCCCACGTGTGTGCCCCCTTGCATGCCTTCATTGATAATATTCAATAGAAATTGAAAGAATATGATGGCTCCCTATTCACTTCACTATTGTTAATGAGAAATACCTTAGATTGTCACAACTTCATGCATTTTATCATAAAATCTCACCTTCATCCTATTGGAAGTATTTGGTAATATAAGTCCCTAGTTTACTCATTATATTTAATTTCCTAAAACACATTGAATTTGTTCTTTCACATTTCACCATATCTGATGCCAGTAACCCAGTTTAGGATGCTGCCAGTAGTTAATTAAAATGTTTGCCATAAAATCAGTCTTCCTTTTAGTGGTGTGCTGCTAATAGCTATGATACCTCCTTGGAAAGCGGGACAGCTCTAATGTAGAGTTTGCCAATCCTGAATGTAAGAGTTTGGAAAAACAGCAAACAATTTGGCTCTCCCATGCTGGCTTCATGCCATACTGTTTCCAATACATCCAGTGTATTCTCTACAGGAAACAGGAGAAAGATTCCAAAAAGCAGTTCTGCTCATGTTACCTGTTACCCCTTCCCTGCTTAATAAATTTCTGATTTCCTTTCACTTCCAGGGGCTTTCTTAATATTTTGCCATGTTCCATGCATCAAATTGCTTTGAGCAACTCTCTCTCTCTCTCTTTCTCTCAAAATATCCTTTTTCACCCTCTCTGCCTTCCTCCACTAAGAAGTTCTTTACTTTTTTATCTTTGATTTCTTTTTCCTTTTTGGGGGGTAAGGATCACTTTCTTAACAAAGATTACTTGAGTTCCTTAATTATATTAAATGCCATTTACCAGACATACCTTTATGCTAGCTATTGTTACGGCTACAACTTTGCATTTGTTGTTGAAATAAGCTAATGTCTTCCTTAAGTTTCAGTAAGAGCAGCACCTATGTTTCAACACAATGCAAAGAGCAAAGCGAACATTCAAGAATTAAGAATTACAAATCTTTGTTAGACTGCATTAAATCATAAGTATCTACCTAAAGGCAAAAGTAAATCTATTCCTCTGTAATTTATAAAGGAAAATTAGAGATTAGTTGGTGATATGATTCTTTGATGTGTCTCTAACATAGCTACAATTTCTATAACAACTTCATAGATGACACTAAAGTAGTACTATCTTTTGCAAATTCAGCCTAATTTTTTCTGAATGAAAAACCTAAATAAAAAGAGCTAATGGAACTTCAATTCCCTGTTTCAGATAACATATACAAATATTTTCTAAAAGGTTCCAGTCATTTTCTAAAATTAAACAAATCTTTTGTACTAAAGGATGGTATCTGTGCCCATGTAGAAGCAGCTCAATGAATCTTCTTCATGTCAACAAAGTGGAGCACTAAAAGCAGACCTTGAAACTTAGAAATGCCAGCATTTCCACACACTGAAGCAATAAACAAATCTCTTATTGCTTTTAAGTTCCCTTATAAAAATATAATTAAACTATGGAAGCGGACAAAAAGTAATAGAATCATCTTTCTTTAATGTCCATATTTTTAATTTTACAAAAGTGTAAAATCCCTTTATTTCAGACATTGAGCCATGGTCTGGAGCACAATATTTGCATTTCAACTAATAAGGCACAAAATAAAATCAATCATGTAAATTCGTTCTTTTCAGAATTTGAATTTTATGTATATTTCATGAAGCACTTATTTGCACATAACTGACTTGAGAAATGTATAGCTTTGAATAACATGCTGAGAGTGCCTGGATGTTGGAGCATTCTTATATTGCTGTGGCTTTGCAAATTAATAAAGCTTCCCACTAAAGCTGTGACTGCATGCTCTTTATTTAAGATCAAATATTTGAAAATCATAACCTTTTTGATTACACAATTTTTTATGGTCTAACAAGTATATCATTTCTGCTTTTCCGGAAGACTAACAGACTAAATTGAAAAGCAAAACAAATCCACACACTTGTTTCACAACTTAAAATTAACTTTCTCTTGTGCTATAATGCACAAAGGAAACTTTCCTTAAAGATTCAGATGTTTCTCCCCATCACTTGGTATGGTAAAAAATTATACCACCTACCTAGTAAGAATTCTTAATCTCAAATTCCAGTGTGTATTTCAACTATTAATATGTGTAAACATGAATAAATCCATGAGAATGTTTACAAACAAGTTATCAGTATTAATCTATTTGTCATCAGAGCATAAATAAAAGTTCCCGGAGCGAGCACTGAGGTAAGGAATGTTTAACTGCCTCTTGTGGCACCAATACTCAAATCCCTAGTTCAGGTCCCAGCTGTTCCAAGCTAGTGTTCTTGGGGAGCAACAGAAGATGGCACAAATATCTGGACCCCTGCATTGGTGGTTGCTATGGAAGATATACACAAAGTTCCCAGTTCCCAAAAAGTCCACTGCAGCCATGTGAGAAGAGAACCAGCAAATAGGAAATATTATTTCTCTTTCTCCTCTCTTCTCTTTCTCTTGACCTTCCTCTCACTCAGCTTTTCCCAATAAATAACTAAATCCTTTGCTAAAATTGATTATATGCTACAAATATTTGAGTGATAAGAGATTCCTTCTAAGATGATATAATTCTATATCAATACAATAGTGTAATTAAGGCTAATATTTAGGATTTAAAAGTTAAAACTAATACAAGAAGTTATTTCCAGAAGTTTATGGAAAATGGAAATAACTCAAAAGCTTATTTCAGGGCAAACATTTTTGATATCCATGAATATTTTATTTCCTAATGAGGATTATTCATAATTTTTTTTCTGAGAAACTCCTCTATCAAAAATAACTCATCCAACTTCAGACAATTATAGGCATAACCCAAATGAATATTGTCCCTTGGACAAACAGTTCTTCATTATTAATCTTCATCTTTGTATAGCACTCCTCAAAAGATATTATCTTACATATTCTCACCTATTTATAATCTAATATAAATTCTGAGGCTCTCAAAGAGATTATTCCAGGTCTTACCACAAAGAGATTGCTAAGTCTCAAATTAGATTATACAATGAGCCCTACATGTCTAAGATTCCATAGCAGGAAAAATGTCCACAAATCACACATAACATGTAGCAAAATCAAGATTGATAACCAAGATCCTTTGGATTGAAAAAATGTAATTACAAATATATGTGAATTAACAATATTGCTGAAGGAGAATGTTTAAATGAGGATGATTACTACAAGAAGACAGAGGATTTTCAAGTTGTTAAAGGGTACAAGGAAGAGGAAGAAAAGTCAGTTCAAAAACATTGTCTCCTTTAATGCATAAATCAGAACAAAAACGAATGTCTATGAGACACCAAAAGCCTATAAAAAGGACATATAAATAAACTATAATAATCATCAGTCTGAAGCAAAACCTCTGAAAAAGACAAAAGAATGTAAACATCTAATAAAAATTGAATGTTACAAACATGTATAGATAATGTATAAGCTCACAAATGTACTACCAGAAAATATATTTGATGCTTCTAATATAATTTACTCTGCAAATATAAGATGCAATTTTCCTATCACACAGCAATAGATTGCAGAATCTAAAAATCAGACACTATCTGCAGCAATCAAATTGTTTTCATTTCTAGATTGTTTTAAAACTGAATTACAAGCATTACCTTCTGAATTGGTTACTATTTCTTGCTTCTATAATGAGAACATTAGTTCAGAAAATCTTCATTCAAACAGAGAAAAAAATATGTATGTATGTATGTATTTGCTTGAACATTACTGAACGTAAAGTTAGAGGAGTTCCAATTGACTTTAGAGAAAGTTATCAAGCATAATCAGTAGAAGGAAAATCAGGCTTTTGAAGCTTATGCAATACAAAGACACGCAAGAGAGAAAAAAATATGCTGCAGCATAGCACCTTGGAGAAACCAGTAGCTGTGTCAAGGAGTGCCCTTCATTGCACAAGTGGTATTCACTCAACCTCTGGCAGTACTGCGAATATGACCACTTGATTATCGTCTGTAACATGAGACGTAGAACAGGCTGCATGTAATTTTCTCTGGAAAATCAGCAGCAGATTTCCCCTCTCATTTATTTAATGCTTAACTAGAAATAATTCTCATATACTTAATAACTCAAGCCCATGTATATCACATTTGTCACCACTAATTTAATTTTTTGGCTACAGAAATATAAAAGTCTATTATCTATTTAATGCATGATTAAGATCAACTTTATATTTAACTGAAAGCTTGCCAGCAAATCACTATACTTTAAAATCCTATATAGTTTACATTTATGATAATTTAACAAAAAATTTAAATGCCTTATGTTGCTTATAAAAATGCTAACATTAGGTTAAGAAGTTGACATTGAAAATTGGTTCTATTTTAGACATTCTATTTTAGACAAAGCCAAAAATTATGAGAATAAATAATCCCAAAACAGCATATCTTATTCACCATTTTATAGAAATAATAATGTATCTACTTATGCATTTCCCTATTAGAAGCCAACAAATGAAATCTAAATGACATATGAACATGTGGTACAAAGTTAGAAGACACAGATATTTATGGAGGCACTATAGGATAGACATTTTTGAACAAAGGTACAAAATGTATTTCTGTTCATCCTGTACACTATTAATACATTCATTAAATATATACCACAATTCCTGAGCAGCACAACTCCAATCCCTCACTGAACTTATTTCATAAAGTCCTGAAAAGTTAAGCGAACAACTTACGGTTTGCCGTGCTCTGGAATTTTGGACTCCTCTCTCTTTTTTAAGTCCAACGCTGGTTCCATAGGTGTGAGAACTACAGCAGCACACGAGACTACAGAATGGTATGAATCCTCCCGGCACACTGAAAAAAAAATGTAAATGCTAAAATTATTTATCGGCTCTTCTCAGTTATTCCAATGCCTTTTCCTATTTCTGGTCAAATAATACAGACAGTTAAACTACAAAATTAAATATTATTAAATTATGTTTATTATATCTATGCAAAGTATTCTCACTACTACAGGTAAGACATTGAAATTAATTTTTTTTTCATTTTTCAAGCCAAGTTATTGCCAACAATTTACATTTATATCTTCAAAAAATCTTTTCTTTGAAGGATGAAAAATTTCTGAGCCATAAATGTATTACTGAATGGAGTATTGACAGTATGAGCACACAGGCTCAACCAGTTTCAAGATCAACAAGTAGAGAATTCCCAACATCCTGAAACCCCTCTAGTACTCTTCCTCCACATCAATGGTATCTTAGAAATTACACATACTATCATTTAGCCAATTCACTTTTGATCTTTATATACATGGGAACATAATGTATTAGTGTGTATTCTTTTATGGGTTATTTACTCGATTCAGTGTATGTTTATCAGATTCATCTAAGAATAACAATAGCTCATCCTTAACTGTACTTTATTTCTTTATATCATTCCCTTGGATTAATACATCACACTTGACACAATGTAATTGTCATGGACTAAGTTATTTGTGGGGGGGGTGCTTGATCTCAAATGTCAATAAACATTCTGTAATTTTCTGAGAGCTGCAAAAATCAATTCACATTGGAAATAATATAAAATCAATTTTATGGTTATTTCTAGCATTTTTCTATGTTTTATAAGTTCAGCTTTAGTAAATATTACCAATTATATGAACTAATTACACTATTCTGATTTCTTAACAAAGAAAGCTAACTCAACATCCATGTTAACATTTGTTTTTTTAGGTTTTTTTTTATACTAAAATTTTAATATTATACTAAGCTTATATTGCAACATAAACAAGTTCACCAAAACTCAGCAGTAAAAACAGCAATTTATTGTCTCACAGCTAGGTAGTCTTCACTGATTTGTCTGATTTGGGTCAAGCTGTTAACCAGTCTGAGCTCTTATTTCTAGTTGTGTGGGAATAATGCACTTTCCAACTCATTCAGGTGAGTAGCAGATTAAACTTTATTTTGGTAATAGGAAACAGGCCTTTGCATTGCTGGCATTTAGTAAGAGACTTATTTCAGCAAGCACATACACTCAGGTCAGAGGCTCATGAACACATTGGTTTACAGCACTTAAAAAACATTCCTTGCACAGAAATTCTGCAATGCTACAAATCTCTAGTTTCCTTTTGTTATCAACACACACCTGCCCTCCCTAAAGTTTTTGCTTTTAAAGGGATGATATGATTAGGCTATACCTGCTCAGTATCTGCTTTAGACTCAAAATCAGGGCATTAGTGACCTTTATTAATCTGGAAAATCCCCTCTTCCAACTGTAATAGCATACACACAGTACTGATGCCCTTTTAACTGCCAAATAGCAGGGATTAGACAAGAGATAACCGCCATGTAGCATAGAATTTGGACGACAACAGCTACTTTTTAAGGATAGAGAGTGCTGATTCATAGCTTTCATTTATTTATTCCTGATAAATAATAACCTTGAATATGTATATTCTTATATATAAAATTGAAAAACTATACGCAGACACTAAAAACAGCTGAATTTAAAACAATTATCTAGAACTCAAGAGAAAAAATTCACGTTCAATACATCTTAAAGAGGAAAGACCAAGGTTTCTTCATCATCTCTCCACTGACTTCAACAGAATGCTTTTCTGCTTCAAATTTAATTTTTTTCTATTTACTTTTGGCATGAGGTTTGTATCAACAATACACAATCCCACTGCAGTTCAGAGTAGAAAATTTTATTGTGTTTTGCATTTCAATTATTACCTTAAATGCTATCTCTGACTAAACAGACTAAGAACATTGTTGACTCATTCATCTGGGACATTTATTTATTAACCATTTACTGAATTACTGGTACGTTCCAGGAAATATACCACATGGTATCATTCTACTAAGAGCATGAAAAAATGTATTAAAATATTTTGATTTCTTGTTCAAGATACATCTAAAGGATGAGAGCACTTCAAAAAGTTCACAAAATACTGAATTAAACAATTTTGATTTTGTGCATGAAAACCTTGAAATTTCTGAATAGTTTCCTTCTTTCATACTATTTTTATTCAATGAATATCTTCAAAGTACTCTCATTTAAAGCAATAAACCTCTGACTGGTTTCATAAATAATACTATTTGGAAGGTAAACAGAGATAAGTTGTTTCAAAACAAGAAAAACAGAATTGAACCGGAAAAAATACTGCTAAGAAGGAGAAATGTGAAGAACCGGAAGCAATTCTTCACATACTTGCTTTGAGAAATACTACTAAATATGATGATCTAAAGACCAGAAAAAATAAACTGCACTCCACAATATTGAAGTAAAAAAATAACGAGCAAATGATTGTAAGAATAAGAGCTTTTACTTGTTCAGTATGAAAGTACGACAATCACCAGGCCTATCTAAAGATGGATAAAGGGAAGTGCCATGTAAATGACTGAGTTCTGACAAACATTTAAAGCTACATTATACTATCAGAACATGTTTTAAATTGTATTTGCTGAAAGACATAAAATAGTGAAATAGATACTAGTTAGGCAAATAAATAACAAAGAGGTTATATGTTTAAAAAGGGAAAATGCAGTAATAAAAGTAACTCAACAAAAAATATGTGTATTATTCATTGTAAAACAAACAGAGAAAAAAAATCACAGCAACATGACCTTAAGGACAGCATTTGTAAGGTTCACCAGACTAATGGATATTTATATGACAACCATATAATGAAACAAGGCATTTTTCAAGTTCAATATCCACACTGAAAACATAATGAATTTATACATTTTTAAATGTATTTAAATTTTTTCATGACACCATTCCATAGGTGCAGGGCACAGGTATTCCCCGCTTTGCCCTCCTATATCCTCCATTCCCTTCCCCCATATTATTAAGATAGTATAGTCCTTCAACAATAATCACAAGTTCATCATTCTGTTACTTAAGTGTATTGTGCTATTGTAGGTATCAATAGTGATAGAAAGCCCAGCATCATATTGTCAAGATATGTTTAACAATTTCACTGGGAGTCTTCCTTTTATTCAGGAATAAAGATGCATAACAACAGATATCTTGAACATACATAGAATAATCAGGAATTTATTACAAGCAACTACATGCTAATAAATCAGAAGACCTAAAAGAAATGAAAAGATGCTTGGGCATATACAACCCACCAAAATTGAATCATGAAGCAATTAATAAATCTAATAGCCCTAAAGTAGGATGGAGATTGAATCAGTAAGTATATCACTCCAAACAACAACCAAAACAAAACAAAACAAAACAAAACAAAACAAAAATCCTTGGATGTGATGGCTTCACCGCTGAATTCTACCACACTTTTCAAGAACTTAATGCAATTCTCCACCAGCTATTAAAAATAACAAAAAGGGAGGCAATCCTTTCAAACTTTCTGTGAAACCAATATCACCTTAATACCAAAGCCAGAAAGAGACACAACAGAAATACAGAGCAATATCCCTGATGAATATAGACACAAAGATCCAAAACAAAATACTAGCCAAAAGAATCCAACAATACATCAAACAGATCACTTACCTGGACCAGGTGGGATTTATCCCTGGCATGCAAGGATGGTGTAACATAGTCAAATTAATAAATGTGATACACTACATCAGAAAATTAAAGAATAAAACCATATGATCATGTCAACAGACACAGAACTTATAACTTTAATGACCATGATGTGAACTACTCTTAAAAAGAAACTCCATTGGCATGTTAAGTAATTGAATTACTTCCTTGAATTAATGTTGGAACATGATTGAAAACATTACTAACTAAAGAAAAAAACATTAGTGCCATTGAAGTAAACCTAGATGTTAGAAAATTCCCTTACGTAAAATCAACAAAGTGAGTGGGATTAACCATTTACTATTCAAGGTTGGATCATGAGCTTTTCTTGCCCAAGCAGCATCGGAACTACCCAGTCCACTGGACATAGAAGGCCTGTAAAATCATTTGGTCCAGAGACAGGCATTGTGTCACAGCATATTAAGCTATTTCCAGAGATGTCAACATCCAATAGGAACTCCAGGTTGAGTCTCTGCTGCTCTGCTTTGGATTTTTCTCCCAAGTAACATGCCTGGTACTAGGACTATATTCAATTTGCTTAATGTTTTTATCATGAAATAATATTGTATTTTATTAATGCTTTTCTGCATTTATTGGAATAACCATATGATTTTTATTCTTTAAATTTTATGTGATATATTATTTATTGGTTTGTCTATCAGTGATAAATTCTACTTGATCAATTTGATACAATCTGATACAATGCGCATTCAATTAGTTTGCCTTTTCTTAAGGACATTTGTTTCTATGTTTATCATAATATTGTTTTTTTAAAGATCTATTTTATTTCTTATTTTAAAAGCAGGTATTCCAAGAGAAGGAGAAACAGATTTTCCATCCACCAGTTCACTCCCCAAGTGACCACAATAGCAGGAGCTGTGCCAATATGAAGCCAGAAGAAAGGAAATTCTTCTGGGTTTCCCATGGAGGTGCAGTGTCCTAAGGTTTTGGACCATCCTTTACTGCTTTCCCACGCCACAAGCAGGGAGCTGGATGGGAAGTGAAGCAGCCAGAATACAAAAAGGTGCTCATATGAGATGCCAGTGGATACAACACGAGGAGTTAGTCAATAGGCTGTCATGCTGGGCACCACAATATTGTTGTATCGTTCTCCTCTTTGTTATATCATTTTCTGGTTCGGCAGTTAAGGTGATGACAGTCTCAGCCTTCAAATTGTTTTGAATGGTTTGAGAAGAATTATTTCACTTGAAAAGCCTGATAGCATTCAGCAGGGGAGCCATATGATCATAGACTGTGTTGGGAAGGACTTTATAATTAACTCGATCCCAACCTTA